TCATGAAATCCTTCTCTTCATCAGCCAACTTGTATGCAAGACTAAGGAGCATGGAATGAGACCTGGTCCAGCAGGGAAATGCTTCTCACTGATGAGCACACCTTACCACACTCCCACAAGTTCTGCCATTTCAAAGACTCTTTCCTGCTGTTATCATGACATGAACTCAATAATTTTTTAGATATTTTCAGGACTATTATAAAATATCACATTCCTTACCCAGGACCCTTATGATGTATCTATTTATGTATTTATTGAAATATTTAATTTTGTACTATTTATTAAATCTTAATGATATTTGTTTATATAATCTCAGGTGTGCCTTTAAATTGTGTCTGATAAAATAAAATATATACTTCATGTTTAGTCAACTTTTTATTTTGTTTCTTTTATTAAATTTTTATTATGAAAGTTTGCACTTATTCTTGAAAGAATTCATCACATTTCATTTTGTGACTTGATCAAAAAATCAACGGTATAATTGATTTACCCACTAATGTTACATTTAGGCTATACTTAAAAATTTACATCGTGTAAATCAGTTGCAAGTTGTTCTGAGGGTATGGAGGTGAACATGACATACAGTTCCTACTCTCATCTATCTGATTTTTGTTTTGTTTTGTTTTAGTTGTAGATGGACACAATATGTTTATTTTATTTTTATGTCATGCTGAGGATAAAATTCAGCCTCATGTGCGCTAGGCAAGCACTCTACCACTGAGCTACAACTCCAACCCTCTGATATTTACAGGGAAAGAAACCTAAACAAGTTGATCATACTGAATGTCCATTATGTTAAATGCTACAATGAGAAGTATGAGGAAACCAGTGAAATTCTCTCAGTGGAAGGTACATGCAGCATGTTAGCCCATAAAGGTGAATGCAGAGAAATCTTTTCTAAATTGCAAGTTTGTACATTCATTGGGTATTTGCACTTTGATGTCTATCAAGAAACACAATGTCTGATGGCAACTCTACCTGTCATGATTGGTGACTGTAATTCTAGCCGAGAAGACGGTCTTGTGGGGAGAGAGTGTAGAGACAGAAAAAGACAAACTGAGAACTTTTTGACTTTTAGTAAAGGGAAGGGAGAGAAGATCCAAGAAGGTGATAGAGATTGAAGACACTGATATTAGAAGGATAATAAGGGAGAATGGTAGAGATAAAGTGTATAAGAAAATTAATTTGCCTAGAAGAGGTATCCATGGATTTACTGAAGATGTGGATTTAATTTCTCACTATTAGGCAAGTGTGATTCCAAAGAGAGCAGGTTGGGTAGAAGTGACCAACAGAAACCATACTGGATGGGGTAAAAGATGAATAAATGAAAAAAAGTTAGTGAGAAATAGAGAAAACACTAATGAGAGATTATCTTCTGAGGCATGGATAAAAATAGGGTGTGATCTGAAAAAGATTATTTTGTTCTGGGCATGGTTTTCACTTTTTGAAACATTTTGTTCAGTTGGATATCGTGGATTTAAGATATTGTCAATATCTTATATTGTATTAATTTAAAATCATGATATATTTTATTACAATGATCACTTATTCTCATTTGATTGGTATCATGTTAAATGTCAGTCTGCTCTTCAGTGGATTGAAACCATCACTGAAATGGGAAAATTGATGGAACTGGTGAGCATTAGAAATGGAACCTAGAATTATTGGGTTGGAAATGACCCTGAAGTATGTGGGAGTTAAATAAGAGAAGAGATGGTCTCCCATGTGTTATGTCACCTGAGCTATCAGTCAGTTTAACCTTCAACTCATTCAGACTTACATCTTTTCCTTTTACTCCATTGTTTTCAAATGCAATAACAGCTTCCTAGAAATAATGACCAGAGAAAGAAAAATAATGCATCAAAAATTATTGAGAATAATGGTTCATGCCCTTTTGTCTTCATTTTTTTCTTGGCTATTTTGCTTCTAACTTCAAGAAAAAAAAAGAAAGCAGTTCAGAAGCAGCAAGATAATCCTTGTTCAGAAAGATATTAAATAAAAAAGAATGCATAAATCTTGAAAGACTCCAAAAACAGTTCATAAACAAACAAAAACATCAGGCTAATTTTATTTAGCATAATTTGCTGGGTCTCACTGCCACGTGTCTCCTCTGTGAGCGGAAGAGTAAACCAAGAAGCTCAACTGAAATTTCATCACCCCAGGGACAGGAGGGGTGTAGATAAAAGGAGGAGACAGTGACTCTGCAGTAGAAAAAGAAAAATCATGAGATCTGGAAAGATTACGGGTGGTTATTTTTTCTACATAGTGTTCTCTTCTTTGTAAGGTTTTTCTCCAGAAAAATTTTATGCAATTAATATATTGAAAATCATATTAATATGCTTAATATGTTTAAGTAAGAACATAGCTACTTAAAATAATAATTTATTGTTGCTTTAATGAATTCTATTTTGAACACCAGCAAGCACTTGGTTCTTGTTAATTTGTTAGGGAGAAATAGATATCTAATTCAGTCCTTCCTCAAAATTTCTCATTATTAGTGCTCACATAAGGATTCCTGGAAATACTGGCTTCTTATTAAGCTATTCAACTTACCGCATGTCACACTGGTTTACATCAACAGCTTTTTAACACACTTCATTTTGGGGTGTAGTTACATGTGTTAAGAACTCTTTTGTATTATTCCTGGTAATTTTCTTGGTTTTATAAATATCACAAACTTGTGTGGATACCCCCCCCAAAAAAAAAAGTTCATGGAAGTGCAGAAGACACTTAGTGTTTCTTAGTGATTCTGGCCCCAGGCATACCCTCTCCCAAAAAAAGCCCAACAATTACAACAAAAAATAACATACTTACCATAGAGATAAAGACTGACATACTTCCTTTCTAAAATGAAAGTAGGAAACTGGATTAGTGAATCCATTACTCAATAATAAAAAAAAAGGTTGAAAATATAACAAAAATCATGTGCATCTGGAACAGAATAGAGAATTGTGCATGTTTCCAGAATAAAAGGAATTTAACAACTGTAAGTGAAATATAAAATATAAAACTTACAAAATCAGTCATAAATTGGGATGAAGAATTTTATGTTGAAAAGTCCATTCTGTTTGGATGTGTGATGTTGAACAACCCAGTGAAACTCTTTGAGCCACAGAGAGCACCGATTTCTTAGAAATAAAATAAGTTCAAAATACTGAGTTTTTATAAACAGTAAGCAAACACTTGCCTTTAAAAACATTTGGGTTGATATCTTTCACAGACTACATTTTTGAAATATGGTAGTATTTTTCTTATTTTCTTCACTGCCTAGAAGAACATTATTTGTCTCCATATAACATTTTTGGAACTGTGCCCCTCCCCCTTCATTCCCTGACCTCCAAAGGAGTCAACCCAAAATTCAAAAGTCTGTCATGAGTTTGAGAAAGGATGAAAAATTGTTCCTCCTCATGTTGAATAAGTGTCACGTACATGCACTCAGGTAATGGTGGCTTGCATTAATACTTGACGGTGGGAATGAACGTCTTCATGGAAGTGCAGAAGACACAAGAATGTTTCCTGGTGATTCTGGTCCCAGGCACACCCTCTCTCCCCCCCTCAGCATTCCAGGACACCACAGTTTCCTTCCTCTCCCAGGTAGAATCCCAGGTCACCCTTGTCATTCTCTCCCTTCACCTGCCTGCCCATTCACACAGGGCTGCTTTCTGATGTGTTGTGGTTTCAGCTTAAAGGTTTCCCTGAAGAGCAGTGCAGCAAAAGTAGAAAGCAAAAGTTCCCCTAAAACGTCTAGGTTTTGCAGAGACATCTGCAGGAGAGCTCTCCTTAATTTCCGTTGCATGTGATGTCATAGTAGCTGTGCCCAAAGGAAACAGAAAGCAGCGGCCAGTGCTTGCAGACTAAGGGAAACTCTTTCAGGGAAGTACAAGAACCAAGATGAGGGTGGCGGTGGCGGACAGGTTTCTGACATATGCAGAAGTCCTTGCACTGCGTGGGGATTTCTCTTCATTTTCCGGAGACTACTTTTAGACAATGATATCCCCCTCAAAAGTATCAACCCACTAACTGAAAGCAAAAATTGAGTGAAAGTTTTCGGCTTGTCAGAAACTTCTGTATTTGTGTTACTCCCCTCCCCCACCCCCTTATGCATATTTTTGGAAATGAGGGATTTCCCTGTTACAATGACGTCACAGTAACTGTAGGGAAAAGGAAACGCAAAGCAAGATCCGGGACACTCTGGGCTTGTTTCAAGATTTCTCGGGCCCCAGCGCCACCTCCTGGCCACCATGGATGAAGACGGATGAAGATGGTGGCACATCAAGTCTCTAGATGTTTATGCCCAAGTCCGATTCCTGCCACTGTGCTTATTATTTATTTGTTTGTTTGTTTTCTCGGAGCTAAAAGAGCTGACCCCAGTAGGGAATGAGCCCCTTTATTTGGTGTATTTATCTTAGGGAAAATATTCCCAGTTTTTGTGTTGGTAATTTATGTTGTATTTGTAA